ATATTATATAATACATCAATAAGTAATACATATATCTCTTTCCTATATGTACCCAGGTTCCTATGGCAGTGGCTGTGGGGTGGCACAGTGGCTTAGTGGTTAGCACGTCTGCCTTGCAGTAAATGAGTCATGGGTTCAGTTCCCAACCATGGCACCTCCTGCATGGAGTTTTCATGTTCTCCCTGTGCTTGTGTGGGTTTCCTCCCACACTCCAACTCCAAAGACATGCTGGGAGGTTAATTGGATCCTGTCTAAATTGGCCCTAGTATGTGTATGTATGAATGTGAGTTAGGGACCTTAGATTGTACACCCCTTGAGGGTTAAGGACTGATGTGAATGTACAATATATACAGTATATGTAAAAGTGCTGCATAATTGACAGCGCTATATAAGTACCTGAAATAAAAAAATAGACTGAAAAGCATTCATCTTTGATTTTCAGCATCTCTTTATGTTATATAAAAATCATATGTATGAAGATGATTTCATTGGTTGTATTTTGAGGCAAATATCCAGAGAAATGCTAATTGTGTAAAAACTGAACTACGGAATATTACAGGAAATATTCTAATTCCGAGCTCCTTTCTTCCCCCAAAAAACCTATTAAGTAATAGCATATCCATCAAAACCAGCTATGAATTAAAGCCAAAAATATTTGGTATATTGAAGAGGGGCTTCTGGGAATAAAGTGGTTAGAAAAAGGTCTCAAGTGAGATACAGAAAACGCAAAGCTGAAAGCAGCCTCAACAAAATATTGAATAAGTATTGAGAAACAAAATGAATAAAAGAGGAATACATGAATAAATGATAAAACTATCCTAAAATATTTAACAGCTTCTTTGCAGATATTGGCAAATGTGTCAAAAGGTTAATTTCAAGACCAATCTTTTAAGGGGCTGGATCTCCTTCTGTGCATTAATTCCTTAGTCCAAATGTCACTTATGAATTTTAGAACTTATTTGAAGTATTATGGAAGGATAAATCAGTGTACACATGAATGTACAGCTTAGAAGTGCAAATATTGTTAGTTTAAAGTGTATCTAAAGACAATTCGTTATATGTTTGTTTTAGATGAATTAGGAAGGATTTTTCAACTTTGTTACATTTACTTTACTGCCTGTGCTCCTACTAGGGGGATTCACCTTCTCTAGTTGCGGACTGAAAAATCTGGAATTTAAAGTATCACCAGAAGAGGAACGGAGGGAAAACCTTCCACTGGAATATGTGTGGTTACAATTGTCCAAGGGATGATTTACTCTTACATAGATTTCCCTTTGTTTCCTGATGTGTCTATGGGACAGGAAGTGGGAAAATCTCCCCAGAAAAGACAAAGGTAGCAAAAAAAAAAAACCTGAAAATTTAAACCACGGGTGTCAAACTGGCGGCCCTCCAGCCTGTTGCCAAACTACAGGTCCTATGAGTCATTGCAAGATTGACAGTTACAAGCATGACTCCCAAAGGCAGAGGCATGATGGGACTTGTAGTTTTGCACTAGCTGGAGCGCTGCCAATTTGACACCCGTGGTTTAAACTATCAGGTTTTTTTTTGTCCTTTCTGGTGAGATTTTCCTGTCCCATAGTTTAAACTCTTCCACACTCAATCCAAAGCTATAAAAAAATTTTTTGGTTTTGATGTATTTTAGTATTAAGCATAGATAAAAACAGTATCCTCATTATTAATGGCATGCAAATACATTGATGTGTAATCTTAGATGGGTGGTTTAGCATTTTTTTATTGCATTGTTAAATGGTCAGACTGCTAAATTTTGTTAACATGTGCATTGGTCAATACAAGCAGCATCCTATCTTGACTTTCCTCATACTTGAGAGAAATGTACCAAGGAACCATGGCCCTGTCATATGAATCATGCTCTACTAAAGAGTGACATGAGTTGAGCTGAACGTGAGTTCACTTTCTACTTCAGGTCATGTGCAGAATTTAAAGCTCAACTGATCTTTCAAACTTAAATCAGCCAAATACATTCCAGGTGCATCAAAACAAATGATGTGCAACATCCTAAAGTTTGTTTTCTTTACAATGCAGCCATATCCAAAGCCTTTCCCCTACTGCAGAATAGGACCTTTGCTCTCTATGTGGAAAGAATCATCCCTTTGCAGAGTCTAAAAAAATCATCTGCTGAGTGCCAGCTATCTCTGAAAAACAAGTATAAACTTAATTAGACTGTTTTTTTTTTCAATCCCTAACTTGTATAGAGTTAACATGTTCTCCCTGTGCTTTTGTGTGTTTCCTCCCACACTCCAAAGACATGCTGGTAGGTTAATTGGCATGAGATTCCGTTTAAAACAATAGAAAAATGCCCATATAGTTTGTTATGTTGTTTCAATATGATTGGATTTTGTGAAAGGCCACATTACCCATTAAAAATACAATAGGATTGCAATATTTGTTAGAGAATGTGTTACAAAAACACTGCTAAACAGTTTTTTTAACGTTGACATGAAAATAATTATCAATACAGTTTCCTTTTTTATTATACTTTAATTTATTATACTCAAATGTATCAATACAGTCTGCCCATCTATTATGCGCCCCAACAAGAGAGGGCTCTCCAAAGAAATGAATAGGATTTGTACATGTATGTGCAGAAGGATAGACTAGTAGAGTATGCAGTGACAGCGGTTTAGCTCCTCAAGGGCCACGCAGCATGCATCTAGCAAGAGTATGGACAGGTAGGTTTGAGGCATTTGGGATACTCACTTACCCAAGTCATAGTAACTTAATGGGTAATCATATAAAATTATAGTTATCCTTTAATTAAAAACCAAGAGAGGGTATAAACCAGGAAATCATTAGCCAAACATTGCTGTCTAATCTGTTGTTATATGAAAAAAATACACGGGGCTGCCATTGCTGAACTCGTCTGAAACATTTGAGTGACTTGCTGTATGTCACCGACTCTTTTTGAGTCACTAATCAGAGTTAAATTTATTATCCAGGGAGGTCATAGAAAAGTCAGAAACATTTTCTGCATGGCTTAAATTATTGTGGAAAGAGGGTGAGCATGATGCCCAGACAACGTCAGATTTAGTTGGATGCTGGAAATTGTTTCCAGGCTCAGGTTTTTAGCTGGAGAGTTGCAAGACCAAGGCACTCTGTGTTACTTACATGACTGGAGATTAAGAAAGAGGACAGGCCAATAGATGCTTTTTAACTGTGAAAAAATAAATACAAATGAACCCATTTAGTCCTGTTCTGGAAATACATAGGATAAGCACAACAAACAATAAATAACTGAAATCCCTGCCCTTAATTTTACATTGTTATTCACTTAAAATGCATGAACTATTGACATGTGGTATTACTCATTTTATCGCGAAGATGATGACTCCTGAGAAAATGAAGATGCAATTTGGTGCAAAAAAAATGAATTGTGTGATTCTCTGGGTATACATATAAAAAAAAAAATCTACTTGTCAGGTATTCTTGTTGTCTGCCCATCCTCTGTTTGCTGAATGTACATACATGTTCAGACAATACCAGCATACATTGTATGTTCTTGGAACAAATTTTTAAAGCCCAATATAACAAAAATATGTAATACTATTCCCTCACCTTCCCTACATGTAATGCTGCTGTACTTTTTAAAAATTTCCCATCTACGTGCCTATACATCTTCCAAGCAGCAGCAATGAAAATCTGCAGTCCTCCTTATCTTGAGTGGGGCACACACATGACACAGCAGTGGCATATGGCCAGGGCTGGTGCTTCCACTAGGCAAACTAAGCAGCTGCCTAGGGCGCACTGCCACCTAGGGGCACCTGGGCACAGCACTCTCTCTTTGTGGCCTATGGACCTCTTGTATGAATTCTTAATTTCTCTGCAGAGACCCCTCTCCTCATACACAGGGAATGATGGTATCTTTACTCTGCACAATTGTCTCAAAGCCTGTCCACTTACATGACTATTTAGTACATGTATACACACATGACATTATTCCATGTAGCAGTGAAGTGTCGGCTCCCTCTAGGATGGGAAGGGATGACATTAGCCCAGGACTCTGGGCAGTCAGCAGTCTCTGATAAGAGGATCAGTACATAATCTCCGGTACACACAGTGGCACACACGATCCACTAGCTGTAACAGGGAGCCGGATAGTGCCTGAATTGGGCATGTCATGTGCTGGCTCCGCCTTCTTCTACACAGCTGCAGCCAATCAATAGGTAGGGTTGTGCTCTTGTTTCAGGGTTAACCCTATGTGCTACAAGTTGACTAGCAGCTGCTGATCACTGAGAGTTTTGTAACTCTGTTTTTTTTCCTCTCTGTCTGATTGGTTAATACAGTTAATTTATATTTTGTTAATATATATTTTGTCTTTAATATTGGTGCTGGTGACATCTTATGGACCTTATTTTTGCAAATTAAAAGACATTTAACAGTTTCATGTTTTGTTGGTTTAACATTTTCTACTGTTTTTATTTTGTTGGGGGCGCAGGTAACTAGTCTTGCCTAGGGCGCAAAATAGTCTAGCACTGGCCTTGCATATGGGTACTGCTATACTGCCAGACTGGGTGATGAACTAGACCATCTGTAGTGCAAAGGAATAAAGGGTTTGGAGTCATGACTGCATGTACATAGACTTCCAGTTTAGATGACATTTAGGGGGGGATACATTCAACTTGGCAGTAGGGCAATGATTAGTACATCAAACTGAATTTCTCCAGTGGACTGCTCTGGGGAACAGGTGAGTATTGCTGTGAACACTGCAATTTTTCAAGAGGTTCATCAGTATTATTTAGCCTACATTAAAAATGGGAATTATTGTGCATATTGACTAATTAGGTTTCTTCTTCTGGAAGAAAGAAGTTGACTGGTCACTATGAGCAACATCTCAAACTGAATCTACATCACAGAGTTTACTTTTTGTAGACTGGAAGATACTTTCCTTCTGGTATCATACCATTTATGCTAAGTTTAAATAATGTTTAACATTTCTTTTATTTCCTGGGCATACTTGCATGTTCTTAATAAAATATATTTAGTATTTATGGCATCTTAACTAATAGATGTTAATACATGAACTTTTTTTTTTTTTTTTTTTACAGATTACGATGTTTGGTAAAACAGCTTGAGAAAGGAGATATTAATGTATCAGACCTAAAAAATAATATTGAATATGCAGCATCTGTATTGGAAGCAGTTTACATTGATGAAACCAGGTAATTAATTTTTTTTTTATTTGTTGATGATAATTGTTCCAAAGAGTTCTAAAAGGACAGGGGTGAAAAAGGAGAACAGGGCACACCCACACTCAAACTTCACTCCTTGGTTTTACTTATGTTTTCCTGCTTTTGGCCAACATAGTACAACAAAGAATATGGTCACTAACAGAACTAGAAATTGGATGTTATCGTGGTTATTACAGGGAAGTGACCCTCTTCCTTACCATGCAATTCTCATACAAACATGTATCACCGATCCTTCTCTTCCCATTGTTCAGTACTCATAGTGATATTTAAACCCCGGCTTCAGGCTCTGTGTTTCCCTCACAAGTGGCACCCCTTTATCCCTTGGAGCCTCTCCAATTTTGTACATCATGCTTACTTTTAATATTACAATATCTTCAAGATAATCACATGGCACTGGTCCTTTTCTGATCTTCTTCAGCAGCATGTGGCCCTCAGAGATGGAGAGAGCAGTGATTTGATGACCTCAGCACAGTTTTCTGCATCAATACTCTCAATGAAGGGTGCTGTGGTGACACATTCTAAATGGGCAGGGAAGTAATGTCCAGCATTCATAATATGGTTTATGATGCTGATGCTGGGCAAAATTGTAGCAAAAAAGAAGTACTGCTGGGGACAGCTCTAAATTGTTTCCTTTGCTGACCATCTGGAGGCCAAATTAATTAAAATAAATTTGTTTGGAGTTGGGCGTTAAAGTTTTTTTTTTTTAATTTCCTTTTCAGTCACTAAAACAGGAAGTATGGACTCTTAGAAAACAATAAAACTATTTTAAACAGAGTGGGCAAGCATGAGAACTGCAGTTAAAATTTTAATGTCTTGTCAATACTGGTTAAATCTCCTCAATTCCTCTTTGGTCACGAGGTAAAACAGTGTAGTGAAATCTACCCAATAGGGATGCACTGAAAACCTGAAGGCATGTATAACCCTTTAACACTTCAACCAAACAAAAAAATATATTCTGGTTAAAAATGAAATTTACAGTGGACCTGTCACAGGAGAAATATAAAAATGCTAGTTGAATGGCTGTTGCTATGTACACTCCATGTCTTCAGTACTTTTAAAGACACTAATCTACAATAAGTATTAAGATAAAAAAAGAGAGAAGTTTTTGAAGTGTTGAGGCAAGAGAGTCAGACACTATTTTCCAAAGGAGAGGTCAGCAATGGCAGCCTCTATTAATTTCATGTCAGGTTTCTTTTAAGCACTCATTTTAGTATATCTTCAATGTGAAAGGAAGGTACCAGACTGCGTGTTTATGACTGTATCGAATTAAAAGAAAAATATTTTAGAGTCACTTTTGTTAGATTAACTTCCACTTACAAGCTCTAAAATAATGCATGAGTAACGGTTAAAAGAAATTCCACTGTGGAGTGTGCTTGTTGGAACATAAAAAATAGCATTTTTTTTCATCAACTTTGTATTAGCCACCCACTCCTTACCAATCTATTATCAAGGGTGGTCACATATTGTGAATACATTCTGTTAAATTGTCTTTGTATCATAATAATGAAGCAATTAGGCTAAGTCCATGCAATCATTTAAACAGTATATAAATAGAGTGTACACATAATTTAGGATAATAGCAAAAGCTATTTTTAGGTCCCAAAGGTCATTTAATTAGACACACTATTCTTGGTCATTCAGGAGGAAAAAGTCATTTCAGAAACTGTTTTTTTCCTAAGTTATGACCTAAACTCTTTCCTTGTTGAAAGACTCGTCTTAAAATAGTCCAACAGCCATACATGGTGATACTGCCTGTTCATTGTGGCATTCGAAATCTTCACTGTGATATTTGGCCCCATAAAGCTATTTCTAGCAATATATGTTCATTGTTATTAAGGAGAATCTTGTTATTATGTGCCACGGCAACGTACGTTTAATAGGTTTCTAAGGTTGAATCTGCATCAAGGAAAACATTTCAGACCATTTTTAAGAGTTCCAGAAACCTTTAAAATGCTTTTATATAGTTATCACAATGATCAGCCGTACCCAAGCAGGGTGGCCCATTTGGAAATTGCATATAAATTAAAGTTTTTTTATTTGCTTGTTAAACATAGACAAGTCCCATATCTACCAATTCACAACAGTCAAATTTCAGAGAATTATGAAAAAAGATATTGGTAGGGCAATTTGGCTTTGTGGCCAAAATAGCATTTGTGGCACCATAATCTGAAAATTACTTGCCAGTCTGCTTCCTTTTCCTCATGCAGGGTCAGAACTTGGCAGTTGGTTTGCATGGCAGGCATGCATAAAAACAGTTTTTTATAGCAGAGTCTCTGCCTTCCTTTTAAAAAGTGTTTTGGGTCATTTAAAAGACCCTGTCGCCAGACCATTTATTTTAACAAAAATCTCCTCATAAGATTATATGAGCATTTAACATATTTTATGTATGATATTTACCTAAAAAAGCCTCCATTTTTAGACAGCCCTGGAACTGCTGCTGGGTGCTGCCGTCTTGGATGTGATATAAGCAGCCCCAGCAGACTCAGAGCTGTCACTCAAGCAATACTCTATAGCACGGGTGTCAAACTGGCTGCCCTCCAGATGTTGCAAAACTACAAGTCCCATCATGCCTCTGTCTTTGAGAGTCATGCTTGTAATTGTCAATCTTGCAGTGCCTCATAGGACTTGTAGTTTGGCAACAGCTGGAGGGCCAACAGTTTGACACCCATGCTCTATAGTATTCCCCTTCACAGCTACAACACAGGTTATGTAGGGAAGTGATAGGAGGAGTGGATAGGATGGGCCAGCACAGACAGTAACTAGATGAGGAGAGGAATATAAAGTGCAAAGGGAAGTTGTTGTGCTATGGAATTGATGCTTCTTGGAGTAGTCAAATGTTCTTGCAAATTCACAGGCACATTGCAAGGGAATGAAAAAAAGGAAAGAAAAAAAACACAACAGGAAAGCATTTAAAATGTCCAACTCTTTTCTCTGTATGCATGCAAATTTTTAAGTAGATGACAAGTTTTCTTTAAAAACAAATAGTACCATGTTCCTTTTCTCATTAGTAGGGATTTTGGTGAGCTTGATATCTTTTGTGGAATTACTAATTTCGGCTTTGGCAAAATTTCACTAAAGTGGAAACTTTTAGTTTCTCTTATTGAGCTGCCCTAGAAAATTGAATGTTTTTGTGTTTTTTTGTAATTGTGTTTTTCTTTTTGCTGCTTATTTGATTTTATTTGTGTACTTTCAAAATATATTTTTTACATTTTGCCTTCCCCATTGACTCCAATGCTTTTGCCGAAATGTGATACTTCCCCAAAATCTCCATATCTTTTTGCCAAACTTCCAGGAAAATAAAAACTCTCAGTTTCCCACATCTCTGGTTTGGAGTTGTGCCAGGCACATAAAGCTTACAGTGTAAATATTTGTCAGTAGATCACGTATCTTCAGATTGAGTCCAAACGTTTTTTTTTATTGGAGAATGATCACATCACAAACAGAAGAAGAGTGCAATGTTTTGAAGTCACGCAGGAATCCTTCGTTAGCCATTTGATATCACATGCCTGACAAAGGAGTCCTGCACGGCTTGGAAATGTTACACTCCGATTTGTGATGTGATCATTCTTCAATTTAAAAAAAGTTTGGACTCAATCTAATGATACGTGGTGTGCTGGCAATTATTTACAGTGTACTGTGCATGTTCCAGTCTCCAGCTGGTGGTTGCTGAAGCACCCCATATTTTAGAGCCTATTCCAGGAACGTGTACAATGGGAATATGGACGATTAGGCACATTCAGCTGGTACAAGCAACCTTGTTGAGCACAAAATATACCTTGCAAACACATAGGAAAGGGTAAAGTTTGAGGCCAGGAACATGGAATCCTGAGATGGCCCTTTTACCCTTCTCTCCCAATGCTCACAGCTAAGTGGATGGGAAAATGATAACTGAATAAATAATGAATAAATAATAGCATTATTATATCACAGAGGCTTGTTTATATTTCAATGTTTTTATTAAAAGAAACAAACCTACAGACCAACAAGACCAACAAATGTGAAAGTCAGAAATTCTCAAAAAATAATCATTTGGGAAAATTAATGACACAGGCATTAAACAGAGGGATGAAAAAATCGGACTGAGCAATTAGGTACGGGACCAAACAGTCCCTCCTGTGCAGTCTACAGATCAAGAGAATAAACTACAACAGTAAACAGAAATCTGGTATATAATTCACTATGAGAAACAGTTAACCATAAGCATAATCAACCAGTTGTCAGACACCAGTATATAATGCAGCAAAATGGAATGTCAGAATCAAAAAATGGAAGAAAAAATAATGAAGAAAAAAGTAGGAAAAAGAGCAGAGAAGAAAGAGTAAATTAAAGGAGGGTCAGCCACGAACCCATTAAGGGACGGAGAGGTGTCGAATCCATGGATCCCAAGTACTGTCAAATTTTGATGCATTATTATTAAGAATACAAGTGAGCTTGTCAATAATCACTTTCCAATTAAATTTATTTTTGACATAATCAAGTGATATCACTGATGGCTTCCAATATTAGCTATCGTAATTCTTTCAGCCAGGAGAATGTAAAGAATCAGTTTGATCGATTTCTTGGGGATACCTGAAGGTAATTTCTGAAAAAGGGCCACCTCTGGAAAAAGGAAGGTGACGTGGTAGAGTACATTTTTGCAAGGCGTTCAGGGACCAGGTACCAGCGCAGGAGCGTTTTATAGTTTGATTCAATAAGTGTGGTATTAATAGAAATCTCGGACAAAGCATAAGCCGTATCCTATCAATAAGTTAGTTCTAAGGAGATATTTAAGTCCCTTTCCCACTGAATCATGTAAGGGAGCTTGATTTTTGGATCAATAAGGGAAGTATATATAGTAGATATGCGACCTTTCAACATACCAGAAGCTCAACAAGAAAGTTTGAAATAGGTAAGTGTTAATTTAAGTTTGGATTGGATAAAGGACACAATTTGATTATATCGAAAGATTTCAATAGGGGTAGTTGATGATGATCTACAGAGGCTTGTGTAATTAAAAACATGACTATTTGTAGAGCACATTTTTCATGTTACTATCATGTATCTTATGCTGAACCTATCAAATGTTATTTTTACCAAAAATGTAGGCGCCTATTGGATACAGAGGATGAGCTCTCTGACATCCACACAGACTCGGTTCCGTTGGAGGTGAGAGACTGGTTGGCATCCACCTTCACAAGAAAAATGGGCATGAGGAGAAGGAGGCCTGAAGAAAAACCAAAGTTTCGGAGCATCGTCCATGCAGTTCAAGCTGGAATATTCGTTGAAAGGTCAGCTATAATTGTGTTCTGCTTTAATTATCAGTGTTAAGACACATTTGTAAACTGTTTAAATAAAAAGGAAAAAACATTAGTGAAAAACACAAGCCTAGTTGTGAAGTTATATTTCTATGGAAATTTGACATCCAGTAGGTAAATCTAGCTTCTGCTTCTCCTTTGTTTTTGCTTAGTTTGGGAAAATCACATGCAGTTGCACCCAGAACAAGTTTAAAGCCATAATAAAGGATCACTTTTCTTTTTTTTAAATTAAAATAACAAACATGTTATGCTTACCTGCTCTGTACAATGCTTTTCCACAGAGTAGCCTGTATCCTTCTCTTCGCTGGTCCCCCGCCGGTGCTTCTGGCTCTTCCTTCCTGTCAGGTGCCCCCATAGCAAGCAGCTTGCTATGGGGGCATCCGAGCAGGCACAAGCAACATCAAACAGGAATAACAGATTAAATGGGATATTACAGTAAATATAAAGCCATTCTTATTTTTATAGGAAGGGTTAGAACGTTAGTCTGGTTTTTATTGTTGTCTGTGTTCCTGTAGGGGAGATTTGCCAATTCTCCAAGTTACCATTGTCTCCAGCACAGAAAGCATAAAAAATCCAACATGTGTGAGGTGTCTTGGGAGCAGAAAGTAAGAGGAAACATTCCAATGAGAAAATATATTCTGGTGACAGCTAAGACTGATTTTCCTCTTGCTTTGGAGAAATTCCCTCTTAGTTCCTGCTGTGTATCTGGGACAGGAAGTGGAGACAAATCTACCCAATGAGACACAGACAAAAAAAATGCATTCCCTATTCCATCCAAAATGTAAAAGTTTTGGCTTTACAAACACTTTAATGCAGTTATATTATGAGGCTTGTAACCAAAACTACTCTCTGAGACCGTAAGTGAGGGATATGATATTGCTTTTTTGTTGAATTCGCCAGATAGCTTGTTGTTGATCATAATTTCAATTTCAGTTTTACCAGGTCCTTATTAACAGTTGGAGGTTGCCAGGAATAGGCCACAGCTCCTTCTGACATTCATGCAACAACATACATGTGTTTACACAGTTTTGTCTCAACATAACTTTAATGAACACCATCAGGGATGTACCTGGGTTCAGTTTGGAGTAGGTTTGGCAAACATTACTGAAGTTTGGGTGTTGAATCTGAGCCCCAATGAAGTCAACGGGTGACAATTGTTAAAAACCAGTAATGACCATTTTTTATTTTCACAGTTAATAGGCAAGGGATTGTCAAACAAATGACATGAAGGGGGGGGGGGGGGCGTTTAGTCACTCTCCTGGGAAACACGTACCAAAGCAAATAAAAATATTTTAACTTCATTTGGTGGGAAAAAGTGATTTTAACCCCTTGGCACAAGTATGCAGCCTCACAGAACTGGGCTTTTCTTCACGGGGGCCATATATTTGCATAACTGTCTTTGTGCTGGGAGGACCAGTGTGTCCCTGAGAGCCCCGAGGCCCATACTAAGGAGCAGGAACCGAAACTCTGGATTAAGAGTGATAGCCCTCTGTTTGGCTATCACAGTGATCAGTCACTGTGAAGCCCGCCCCCGTGTTTTCTTTCTCTCTCAATAGAATAGTAGAGAGGAAAAAAAACAACAGTGTAAAAAAAAAGAAAAATAAATATTAAATACTAAAATGAAAAATAAAGAAAAAATAGCTAGTTAAAGGTTTGATCAGGGTCAAATGTCAGGATTTTTTTTTAACTAGTAACAGTGTCAGTTAGTGTCAGTGTTTTAGGTAGGGCAAAAAAAAAGCAAAATGCGCACTCTTGTTTCTGGGCTGTACTACGGGTACAAAAAACAAATAACATACACATATATGGTATCTCTGCGATCGTCAGAAGCTGTATACTTTATTCTGGGTTGTTCTCTGGTGGTAGGTTATGGTAGTAACAAGAAACACACAACTATATTTAAAAATATATTTTTTTTTTACTATTTTGGCCCAGTTTTCCTTTGACATTAAAAACAGATCAGGAGATATCCATTACCATTTACCACCCAATGAAAGCCCAATTTGTCCAGAAAACAACAAGGTATAATTCACCTGGATGTACAGAGCTGTTGTGATGATATGTACTGTTTTACTAACCCATGTCAAGGTTGCAAAATTTTAGTTAGGCATTAAGATTTGTTTTACCCTTAGGCGTGAAGGGCTTAAAAAAGCTTAAACTGTGACATTAAAAAAAATGCAAAATTACTTTAGATACCACACCAAGGGAGTGCCTACCTACTACAGCAAAACTTACCTAAACAAAATAAAAAAAGCCTTTTAAATTGCCAGAAAATTACAGTTTTGACCACTTTACTGTTTATAAACAAAAAGGCTGTGGATCCCCTTCATCTAAACCAGACACTTATCCTAGATGAGAAATTAATTTAGATGCCAATGGGAACTACACACACACACACACACACACACACACAAAAAAAAATTGGGGGTCACCTTTAATTTCCATAGCAGACCCTTCAGGCCTGGTATGAAGTTTACCTCCCCCATAGAAAAATAATAACAAATAAAGCATGAACATCCCCTGAAAAACTCCATGCCAGACCTTTATCTGAGCATTCAGGAAAGGGGGGATCTGTGTGCTCAGCCCCAAACCATACAAGGTCACATGCCCTCAATATGAGGGGGATACTTTGTTGAAGAGGACAAGGGCCTTATCTCCACAACCCTGGCCCAGTGGTTGTGGGGGCATGTGGGTAGAATCTGGAAGCCCTCTTTAAAAATGAGGGGCCCCCAAATGCTGTCCCCTATGCGAATGACTAAAGGGCACATAGTACCCCTACTCATTCACACTAAAAAAAAGGAAAAAAAGTGTAAATTAAACACAAACGCTTTGACAAGTCCTTATTGAAAAAGTTTTTTTTTAAATCCCACTTGGAAATCCATCATCAAACACATCATCCAGTGATGCGGATCCTAGTCAATCATACTGAATAACTCTTCCAAAAGAAGAAACTCTCCAACCAATGGGCATGTCTGATCCTGTCACTACACAATGCAAATGAAATCTCACAAGCCCTGCTACTAAATGTAAAATAAAGAGGCAGGGTCTCTTGAGTGATGTCATTGACCAAATAATGCCATGCCAACATATTTGGTCAATAATATCAGTGATGTTGACGATTCCTAGCCAGTAAATGAATGAGGCCAGGTGATGACACTAGCTGCTAAGCATTGCTACTATACACAACGTTTGTCTTCCACCATATTACAAAAAAGGTCAGGCATTTAGATGAATGCCCAAAGAGGCAAAATTGGTCCAAATCTGTATTCGTACTGAACCTTATCTCATCCCCAAACACCATATGCAGTATATAAATGAAAGTAGGTTCACTAGAACTATAAATCACAGGGCCCTATAGCATAATTTTGGTGACCCCCCTCCTTGGTGATAGGTGGGCTTTAATACACCCTTGTTTACAGCCCCTAAAAAATGCTTATAGGTGGACTTTTCCTGGTCTTTGCTTTGTGAATTGAGCCAATAATATCTTTTAGCAATGGTTTAACAATAACAAAATCCAGCATGATAAAACATAACAAAAATTTAATTTCCTCCAAGCTAGTTTCAGTTATTTTAACCACTACAACACCGGGCACTTATTTTTTTTTCTCAAATGTTTCTATTTTTTTTTTCATTTCTTATAAATTTTTTTCTTTTTCTTACTATTTTATTTTTCAGCACACGGTGACCAAAGCAATACAATCAGGAACTAGCTAGACCCTGATCAATATTCAGGTTGGCTATTTAAATAGCCAACCTGAATATTGATCAGGGTCTAGTTAGTTCCTGATTGTATTGCTTTGGTCACAGTGTGCTGAAAAATAAAATAGTAAAAAAAGAAAAAATGTAATAAAAAAAATAGAAACATTTGAAAAAAAAAAAAAAAAAAAATAAGTGCCCGTATTGAAGTGGTTAAATAGCCAACCTGAATGTTGATCAGGGTCTAGCTAGTTCCTGATTGTATTGCTTTGGTCACAGTGTGCTGAAAAATAAAATAGTAAAAAAAGAAAAAATGTAATAAAAAAAAAAATAGAAACATTTGAAAAAAAAAAAAATAAGTGCCCGGTATTGAAGTGGTTAATAAGAAAATCCCCCAGTGTAATTACTGTTAATGTGCAATTTAATTTAATTTACAACTTAAATTAATATTATTATATTATACAGATTATTGTTGGACTTGATGACCTAACAGTATAAATTATGTTTAAAGCAAAACTCACGTCTAAACAACCATTTCTACAGCTTCTAATGACAGACCAGCTCTCTGTATTTATGATCAGGCAACAATTTCGTCTTAATTTCAGGAGTTGGGAAGGCTTCTAATATTCAGATAAGCTGATCTTCTGAGCCAAATACTAGAAGATACTACAAGAGCTATTTAATGTTATTGTGTCTGTACATCCACAAACATGCATTCATTCATTCATAGTACAAAAACTATTTTAATGATTTCCTTTTTTTTCCAGGATGTACAGAAGATCGTCCAATATGGCTGGTCTTACATATCCCCCAACAGTGATAGCATGTTTAAAGGTAAATAAAATAATTATCATCACATTAGAAACACTGAGAAAAAGATTATACTTATTCCTTCTGCACTGTACAGCAAATCTTAGCACAACCTATTACAGGGTTAATTTCTCTTTAGATAAATACAGTCAGAATCATGCAACTTTCTTTCCAGCAGCACAAGGAATGCTGAGAAGGTTTTAAAACAAATAAAAAAAAGAAAAGAGAGTACAACAACATTGCACAACAAAATTTAACTTTTTCTGTGATGATTAAAAACGAATGCACTCACGTGAATCAGTGAAGTAATGCACAATCAAAAAAATTAAATGAAGCCAGTGTCAGTGGCATGGCTGAAGCATTAACTGAGCCTTGGTGTGGAGTGCCGTATAGGTGTGGGGGTCCCATCCTCATCCTACCACCCAGTCTGCAACCTTGTCAGGAGGGAAATGAGGAGTATACAGCTTTTCCTAGAAATTAAAATAAATAGTGTAGCGCTAATAATACTAACAATGACGTGTTAAAATGCACAAACTCTATATACATCCCCTACATATATATATCCAAGGTGATAAATCAATACATAAATAATAAAATAGTTGTGTCATACGTGAATTCCCTCACTGGGAATATTTAGTGAAAAAAGTGACAAACACACTCCTATTTGCACATTGTGAAACAATATGTATACTGGTGTACAAAATAGTGAACAAATAATCAATTCAAAAAGTCCAAAATGATATAATAATAGTAATACGATAGTTTGTGGTGATCCTCACACTTCACTCTTCATGCAAGAATATATAATGTGCCGTATACGTGGTACACACGTGCCAATCCTTTACCAGCCAAAATTTGGAATTTTTTCCTAGAAATTGTCATAGCTAATGTTATATATAATTATACAATAACCATGTCCATTCATGTTATTTATCATATCAAGACTGTGTACCAGGGGTGTTAAACTCCATTTTATTGCAGGCCGCATCAGCATTACAGTTGCCCTCAAAGGGTCAGTTGTATCTGTAAGATTTTATATAATTGTATCTACTCATTATCATATTAAATAATTGTCTCTGCGTTCGTATTACTGATTTTAGTAATAACTTAAAATGGAACTTTACTCTCTCAGTTAACATTGACTATTTTAAAGCCTTATGCTGCCAGCATTAGTAAATCAATAGGAAAGTATATTATATTTACTTGTTTTAACCTTTTTCTAAACATTTCTTTCATTACTTCCTGGATTCCATGCCTAGGCAAATTATGTCATATATCTCAGGAGTCTTCAGGAGGGGGGGAGAGTGGGAGGGGTTTTCTCAGCTAAGCACACCTATGACTGAACTATGGACAGAGGCATTCCAGGAAGAAAATGTTCCATGAATCATCTGCCCTTACTGAAAGTGGCCACAGCCAGAAATGCTAGGAGGTGTTTTTTCAAGGTTATTTTCCAGCAAAACAAAGCGTGGAGACATGGATGGGTGAGTCTACTTTGAATATTAAGAATGATTGTGGTGTAAAGATGCAGTGTATTTCACTTTAGGACTTAAGCTGTGAAGGGCAGATGCAGACCAGCATGCAGCCCACTCACACTCCTGTAGCAGATGATCCAAACTTGAAAAGGTGCGCCACACAATGCTGATATTATCCACCAGAAACTTTATTGGAGACTGCTCAGACAGAACACCCTTGCAGAACCATGTTCTGATCAGACTCCAATAAAGTTTCTTGTGGATAATATCAGCGCTGTGCATCTCTTTTTTTCAGCTGGCATAGAATTGTATTGATCCCATAATAATTAAAAGCAGATGTCAGGAGCACCCAGACCCCCCCCCCCCCCCCTTATATCAGATGTCAAGAGCACACCCACCATCAGAAGTCTCCCAACCTCCCTTACATCACAATGCACCCCCCTTACCTTGTGCTGCTTCCAGGAAGAAGTTGGGGGCGGAGCTGGGTAGCAGAAAATGCAGGGTCTGAAGAAGGACTAGAGGAGGGTTGAAATCAGCTGCTGGAGTATGCTGAATGATGAGACCAGGGGAGGCAAAAATGAAGGGTTGCTGTGGCTGCACAGAAAGGGGTAGGATCTGTAGGAGGAGCTCCATCCTCTGCTGACTGCTGAGATGGGGGGTGCAGAGATAAGCCTCTCCACGGCTGCACAGAGAAGTGCAGGAACTAGCGGAGGAATTCTGCACTCCTCTCTGCTGCCAACTGCTGACAAGTTGGAGGCAAAGATGAGGAGGGTGCCACAACTGCAGCTGAGATGTGAGAGCCACATAAAATGGTCTGGTGGGCCAGATTTGGCCAAGGGGCCTTGTGTTTGACACATGTGCTCTATAGGTTATACATGGTTGGTTTTATCACCATGGAAAATAGCTGATATAAATCGTGTGCATTCATTTTTTTAATTGTCACAGTAAAGGTAAGTTTTATTGCACAAGATCGCTGTGCAGTCTTTTCTTTTTGTCTTTGAAATAAAGTAAAGTGTCTGTGCTTTTTCCCTCAGTAAAGGATTTAGGCTTCCTTTAGATAATGCTGCTTGAATTCAAGAGGGCTTGCAAATTGCATTTAACGTCTCTCTAACACCAGCCTCACATTGGCCATCATTCTCTATGAGCCAGTGTGAGAACACTTGTCCACAATATCAAAGCCCAGCCAAATGCAATTCCTACCTGCAGCAAAAATGAAGCTCTAAACATTGTTGGAAGGCTGGGAAGTGTACTAAAACTACTGCTGTGTGTCACCAGGTACCAGTTATGTGGTTCCCAGGTAGAATGTGTATGCATCTGGGAAAGGCTGGGTTTTAGTTGTTATTACAATACAGCTGTCCTTTAACAGCTATGCATCAGGTTTACTGGATGTTTTCCAATTTTGTATCATTTTCTATTTTATGTAAAGGCACTTATACTATGCTTTTAAAGCATATTTTCTTTCGAAAGGCTGGCATTGGCTAGTGTATGTATATCCTTGTCAGCAATATCTGATTGACATTGTACAAGTTACATTAGCCAACTTCCATTCAGTCTTTTGGTAATTTTCAGTTTCAGTTTGGTCTGTTGGTTTTAGGAACATTCTAATATACTGAATGGTTGCTAGTTATATAACATGAACTGAAGAACCTTAACAGAACAGTTAATGAGATACCCCATGATACATGGCTACCAAAAGTTGATTACTAACCCCAGGTTCACTTCTGTGTGAGGTTCCCGTGCCAGCTGCGTTTTCCAAAGAAGTGCAGGGAGTCCATTCAAAGGAATGGGCTCTTGTGCCTGTACAAAACGTGGCCCGCACAACTGGATATATGTGAACCAGGGGTTAAGCTACTTTACTTCTTGTTTCTAGTATCTTCTAACTGCAACACATCAGCATTTGGTAGTAGAGGCTACACACACGCACACACCAGTTTGGATAGCAGCAATATATTGTTACAGTTAGTGAAGAATAAAAATACAATAGCATGCAAAAGACACATGCTACTAACAGATCCTCATTTTTCTAGCAAAGTAAAATGGGATTTAAATTTCAGTAATAGATGGCAAGTAAAGGCAGGATAGTTAAATAATATCTTCAATCGTCTGCAATTTTCTCTTGTATCCTAGTAAATTGTCTCTGGAGAGAGATTCAATTTATTCTCTGTCGACTTTTACATACTGAATATTTACTATTGTCAGAATTCGTTTTGCAATTGGCTGTATCAGCTACTCGTCTTCTATTTAAGTGCACTTTTTTTTTGGACAACTGTTTATAATTTAGTTCAAGAGAGAACCTTTTTCAGTTCCATAATGGAAATTATTATCAAGCAACGACTTTAGTTTTTTTCTTTCAAGTGTTACAGTATATAAAAAGAAGTAAGTTCTGTTGTTTGGTAGGAAAACCCTTCACAAATAGTACTTCAGTTTGATTCAGTATGATTAGGCCCCCGGTGGGTGGGGCTAAATGCATCAGAGGGTTATGGCTTAGGAGGAGTTCCAAGTTGAGGCCATTCATGTTCTTCTCTTCCTGTTGAGCTAGTGGTGTGTGGTGTCTCTCATACCTTCATTCTTCAGTTTGGGTAGATGTACCTTAAAACTGCCATCTGGCTTTCTATATTGCTTCCCCCATCTGACAGAAAGAAATCTTAGACCCTATTGAAACTTACTAAGGTAGATTTACTAAAGGCAAATAGGCCGTTCACTATGCAAGAGAATTTTCACTCAGCTTAGTAAATGTGGTGAAAAGTCATATTGCTAGAAATACCCAATCATGTGCAAGTAAAATCAAAAAAAAGTATTTTTCCCTGAATGTGATTGGACGATGGAAGTCAGCAGACTTTCACCTCATTCGCTAAGCTAAGGGAAGATTCCCTTACAAAGTGAACAGCCTATTTGTTGATAGTAAATTAATCCCACTGTACCTCTTTAAGATGCAATTAAATGTACATGAAACTGCACACAAAATGAAATTCATGCCAATCACGGCATTACGCATTGGATTGGAATCTGTACAGAGGTGTCTTTATCTTTACACCTTTGCTGAATATAAAGGTTAACTTTAAGACTCTGAAAGATACAAAATCCCAATGTGTGATTTTACTGACTAGAAACTACACACAATACATAGTTTAACCATTCAACGGGGATCTCCAGAAAAACTAAAGTAGTTAAACAAAAGTGCTTTCCCATAATTCTGTAATGAAACATTTTACTTTCTTCTACTTTTACAGCAAGGCCATAATGGTATGATGATTCTATATAAGAAGCACTCTATTGGTAGTGAGAGCTCTGTGCCAAAGTGTGCATATATGAAATAGAAGATTTGGGCAAGGCCTGTTTATACCTGGGAACCTGGTCCAGGCTTTGCATTGGTCCTAGTAGTTGCAAGAGACTGTGTTTTAAAAATAAATATGTAAAAAAAATCCTACCTGCAAAAAAATTAGTTAATATTCACCTTTCCTGAAGGCTAAAACTGCAATGAAGATGAAAACCACTGCCCATAGAATCTTTAGAATCTTCCAGGAGAGTTGACTTCCTGGTCCTCGTGTGAAC